AAAGTGCAAATGAAGCGGGGATTTAAATATCCCACGCCAATATTTAAATGGCAGCCACCGCTCTTGTTCAAAATGGGGCTTTTCAAAAAATGTCAGTTTAGTCGGGGCATTTTTTGAGGAGTACAGGATCTTTCGAAATGGGGCATTTCTGTTGAAAATGCCCAGTCTAAACTGCTGGGGGGTTTTTTTCCAAAAAGCCTCGTTTCAAAAAAAAGTGACGGCTGCCATTATGCAAATTAAGCGCAGGATATTTAAATCCCCGCTTCATTTGTGCTTTTGAAATGTCTAATTTACATCCCTCTGCTGACAAAGGGTTGTAGTTTAGACACGGCCTTGACAATTACCTGTTCTGTTCATTCCCTCTGAAAGATCTGGGATTAGCCACCGTCCGAATATAGGATACTGAACTAGACAGAGCTTTGATCTGACCAAGTATGGCTGTTCTTATATCATGTCTTCTTTTTCCCCAGACTAAAATAGCTTTATCATATTTTGCTTCCCATTCTCTCTTCTCAGAGGCTAAATCTACTCTGGCAGCTTCTTGTGCAAAAACTCTTCTACAAGAGAGCGTCTACACTGGCATGTGCCTTTGCACAAGAGATGTGCTTTTCCATACTTTAGAACATCAGTGTTCTTGCGCAAGAACTTGTGGCCAATGTAGACAGGCAGCAAGTTTTTGCGCAGAAGCGGCCGCTTTTGCACAAGATCGCGCCAATGTAGACACAGCCAGAGTGTAGTCTCAGGAAGATACTATCTGCATTTTGAAGTTCAAGGAGTTTACAAATACGGCTTTGAATACAGCTATCCCAATACACCCTTTCTTCCAATAAAGCAATTGTGCTGCTGTCTCATTTCTTTAACTAAATACTGAACATGATGTAGCAGTAATATTCTGTTGGCTGTCTAGATTCCAGTCCCATGTTTTTAATCTAGAGGATCAATGTTTTGATTCAAGTGCTTAAAAATAGGTTTGCAGAACATGAGTGAGGGTATGATAGCAACAACACTAGTCCAGGTTCTGCAAATATTTCCATGCTAATTTTTTTAAATTGGTAACACAACTTACATAGCACTCTTTCTAGTAAAAGTCACAGGCTTTGTCTCTGACCAAAAGTGTTTTTCCCTCTCCTATGCGAAAGGGAAAGAAGTTCAAAACACTCAGAAAAGGCTAACAAATTTATTTATTTAAATCTATTTGTTGTTTCAAGTTTAACAAACTATAGGTACTTCTAGTATTATGAAAAAATTGAGTGCCACTGCTTGGAAAAAGCTTTACGTATTACAAAAAGATCAGAAAGATGAAAGCTCAGGTAGAAGTAGCCATCACTGAGAAGTATTCCAGTGAAGAACGATTTTAATGTGATTCTAATGGGGCATTTGCCCCACACTGGTTCTACAAGGGTTCAGCCTACAATAGGGAGGCTATGTGGTAGGCAGCCACAGGTACAGATAAGGGTACAGGTGATCCTGATAAAAGGGAAGCCACAAACCAGGGAAACCAGTAGAATGTTGCATTTTTGGCCTTCATGACATCCCCAGGCAACAAATTCCACAGTATTAAGTAGGGATGTTAGCATATAGTCATGTAAATGGTTAACCAATAAACCCAAGTTTATCAGTTAATACTAATGACCACACACACTGCCCCCCCCTTGCTGCCTCTAATACAGAGTCAGCAAGGGGAGGGAGGATTGGCTTCCCATGAGCACTGGATCCCAGAGCCACCTGTCACCCCTTTCCCCATGCCAAGCTGCTGCCTCTAATAAGGAAGCAGCTGCATAGAGTGAGGGGGACAGGCAAGAGCCAGCTTCCTGTGTGAGCTATCAGCTTATGCTGAGCCACCTGCCTTCACCCCTTGCTGCCACTCTCGGAGGCAGCGGCGGGGAGGCAAGCAGGAGTCGGTGCTGAGGGGAGCCAGCTTAGGTCAGTTCCCCACAAGCACCAGCTTCACAGTGCTGCCTCCCTTCCCTCAGCGCAACTGCCTCTCTATCAGAGCCAGCAGCACAGGAAGAGAGGAGGCAGGCAGGATGCCACTGTAGCTCCTGTCCACCAGGAGCTCAGGGCCGCCCTCCCCCGCTGACAGGGGCTGGTGTCCCAAAGCAGACTCTGTCTGCGGAGGGCAGAGCCCCCACCATGGACAGAGGCTGCTGCCACTCTGCGCTGCTACCTATATATAATTTGCTGCTAGCCCCAGAAGCCATCAAATAATCATGTAACCGACAAGGTTTGGTGCAGTTACACGATTATTCAATTAAACCATACCTAGCATCCCTAGTGCGAAGAAGTACTTATGTTTCTTTTACACTTGCTGCCTATAAACTTCAGTGGGTGAACACTGGTTCTTGTGCTAGGTGAACAGAAATAACACTTCATGAATGGAGTGGAGAAAGTGAATTAAGTTTTTTTAGGCTTGTTATATCCCTACTGTTGGAACTTTGAAAAGAGACTGTTTCGATGATCCATACCTAAAGCCAACATTAAGCAATTCAATAAGAGAGATGGCATTTTCACAAACACTCATCAGTAGCACTGAATACCCTTTTCCAGCACACTGGTCTGGATTAGGGATGTAAAAAATAATTTAAAAAGGTGACCATGTAACCACTAACAATCATAGCGGTTATACTGCAGAGCCTGCAGCACCTGTAACTTTCATACTGCAGAGCCCACAAAAGCTCACAATACCATCTACATTTTTTCATCAGTGTCTAAAGCGGTGCAAGACTATTTGTTGTTTTTTGAGAAAAGGAGTGTGGCCTATGCCTCATCCCACAAGAAGTTCATAAACCCTCTTCTGGAAGCAAAATGCAGGACAATGTAGCACTTTAAAGACTAACAAGATGGTTTATTAGATGATGAGCTTTCGTGGGCCAGACCCACTTCCTTTGATCTGAGGAAGTGGGTCTGGCCCACGAAAGCTCATCATCTAATAAACCATCTTGTTAGTCTTTAAAGTGCTACATTGTCCTGCATTTTGCTTCAACTACCCCAGACTAACACGGCTACATTTCTATCCCTCTTCTGGAAGTTTGCCTAAGAGGAGACAAATCCCTTCTACATCTCCAAAAAGGGAGACGGGGAATTGAATCCAGGTCTCCAACAGCCCAGTCCACTGTCCTAACTATTAGGCTAAAAATGGCTCCTCTTACCCTCTCATTCTGCATGGATTTAAATGTGCTCAGAATACTTCACAAATCAAATCTTAAACGCAAGAGAGAGGAGGAAAGACCTCTCCCAGGGTCCTACTAGAATAGAAGTGAAAGACAGGTTCTCAGACGTCTCAGCTAACGACCACATGCATGCTCATTAGAACAAACTTAGGTACAGGCAGTCCCCGAGTTACGCGGATCCGACTTATGTCGGATCCGCAGTTACGAACGGGGTTCCTCTCTCTGGTCTCCAGCAGACCAGGGAGAGGAAGCAAAGCGGCGGAACACGTGGGCAGCGGACAGGGCTGTCCGCTGCCCACGCGCTCCGAGGCTTGGCTCTGCTTTGCCCCCCCCTCCCCGTCCCCCTGGTCTGCAGACAAACCGGGCAGCACCCCAGCTGTTCTGCCCCAGGCATCCTGATTCAGCCACTGCTGGTCAGATTCAGCAGCGGCTGGAT